AAAAAACACACAAATGGGATCTTACTATATACATTTTTCTGCAATTTTCCCTACTTTTTTTTTTTTTTAGCTTAACAACATCTTGTCACCATGTTAGCACGTATAAATTTACCTCATTTCTTTGCACTGTTGAATATTACTCTCAAGTATGGATGTCCCATGTGTCTTTTATCTCTTTCCTAGCTGATGGACATTTAGGTAGTTTTCATTGGTTTCACTTTGAAAAATAATGCTGGAATGAATATTGTGGGAGAGAAAGAAAATTTTCTCTACCCTTATAGGTTCTTTTGGCTGGTCTAATAAATTTACATGGCATAGATTATTAACAGAAAATAACCAGATTTAATTGCATACCTATGTATGGGAACCCCATATACTCGAGAGAGGTTTAGAGACAGAAAGTGAAAATGAGGTATATATGGTATTCTGAGCTAAGGATGAGAGGGAAAGGTTCTTGGAGCTTCAGAGGGTAGGAAAATCATTCAGAAAATGATAGAAAGAGTATTTATGCAGTAATCAGAAGTTTGCTCTGCCTTATGGATAGGTCATAAATGTTATTTCTGGTGATAACTGTTATTATGGCCAAGTGCCCCCCAATTTAAGTTATTTAAGGGAGAAGTAGAAGTTTTTTCTTGAGTCCCTAGGGTCTCAGTTGCCTTCAGCTTAAAATAACCCACATGCCAAAGGGGCACATCTCAGAGAGGCCTGTTCTGAACCCCTTCGTCATCCTTTTAGAAACCTCTTTGCGCGAATGTGGGAAGATTCTTACGGGCTAGCTTTCTAGATGTGGTATTGCTGTGTCAAAGGAGATGTCTCTTCAAAAGACTGTATCAATTTACACTCCTTTTTACCAGCTTATAAAAGGTCCTATTTCTTCTTACTGTTATCTCTGTGCTGTATTTTAAATAAAATAAAATTTTCTTTTGCCCTAGGCTAATTTTGTGGGTTTCCTGGTTTACGAGTCTATGATAGCTTGGTTAGTTGAGTAGAAACATGTGGGCATATGATTAAAGAATTTGAATCAGTGTTCTAGACCCATGCTATAGCAGCCTTCTTTCATGGTTATTGGACTTCAAATTGTTGTTTTCACCGAGGGTGCTTTTTATTTTTGTCTGTAGTGTACCCTGAGTCAACATGCTTGAGTGATGAGTTCAAGTGTGACAGTGGGAGGTGCATCCAAACAGAATGGATCTGTGATGGTGATAATGACTGTGGGGACATGAGCGATGAGGATGAAAGACACCACTGTGGTAAGTGCAACAAATGAGTGCAATTCTTTGATATCATACTTAAGTGCTTTTAAAAGATGAAAAATGATTTTAAATTTTATTTTCTTACTCTTCTATTTAGCTGAGGGACCTAATGTCCTACATTTCTAGAACAGATTAGGAGAATTCTGTTTACCACACTTAAAATTAATAGCAGCTTTTACAGTGTAGCAATTAATGATGCCTCCAGTTTAATTTATTTCCTTAGAGCAGTGATTTTCAACCTTTCATCTCATGACATACCTAAACTACTAAAATTCAACTGACCTGACAAAAAAGTAGGCCTAATTTTGGTTCATTCACACTGGATGGCTATTGTTGTATTGGCTCTTTAAAAAATTTGGCCATTTTAAAATTTGACAATCTAATGGAAAAGCGGTCAGTGCCCCTGACCAAATAGCCAGGTATTGTGTATTTCAAAATTCGTTTAGCACACTAGTGTGCCATGGTACACATCAGTTGAAAATAGCTGCCTTAGAGCTGTTATTTGGAGAAGGGCTATTGAACAGACTATGGAACACCATTTTTCATTACCAGTAGAGCATGACTAACTCTTAGCTAAGGTGTCTTTCTGTGGTAGAACAATGGCTCCCTGATGTTTACATTTGATCATAACTTCATGTCAGTGACTTTGGTGGTCCATAGCTCCACAAACACTCCATTCACTGAAATGGGTGTTTGGAGCTGCACAAACATGGATTACAACATGTGCTTTTCTCCCAACTCCCTTCACCAAGACCCCCTAACTTTTGTCTCCCATTCACTCACAATAACACTAAAACAGCTGTTCTTTTATATGGAGGCGTTAATGACTATATAATTACACCTCACCTCTTTCCTAACAGGGTCATGGTTTCTGATACTCTTGTCCTCCTATATACTCTAATTCTACTTCAAGTGGTAACTATAATGTAGTTTAAAAAGCACTACATTTGGAGAAAAAAAGACCTAGATAGGTTTGAAGCCCCAGCTAGCCCTTTGGAAAGTTCTATGGCTTTGAGCCATCTAGTTAACCATCTTGAGTTTCAATTTTCTCATCTGTAGAATTCACATAAAATTGCTTATCTCACATTGTGTTTGTGTGGTTACACTTTGTAAACTAAAAATGTTACCAAATGTAAGGCATTGTTTTGGTATCCACTTAACAAAATGGGAGTCTTTTTCTGTAGCCCCAAGGGAAAAATATGATATTAATTTTATGGATAACTGAGATTTTTATTATGTTTATTTCTTCTGAAAAAAAAAAAACCCACAAAATCCAAAGTCCAAAGCAATTAAAATGGAATTTTGGAGGTATTTTTATTATGGTCTGTTATTACCATAGCAATGTGATTTGTTGGCCTTTTTTCTCCTAATTTCCTTCCATCCCTTAGACCCGTGGTTGGCAAACTGTGGCTTGCGAGCCACATGCAGCTCTTTGGCCCCTTGAGTGTGGTTCTTCCACAAAATACCACGTGCGGGCGCACACGTACAGTGCGATTGAAACTTCGTGGCCCATGCGCAGAAGTCGGTATTTTGTGGAAGAGCCTCACTCAAGGGGCCAAAGAGCTGCATGTGGCTCGCGAGCCGTGGTTTGCTGAGCTGCAGTTTGCCGACCACTGCCTTAGACTATTAAGTAACATAAAATAAGAGAAATAATAGTTTGGAGAGGATTTGTCTGCTAGAATGAGCTCTCATGTAGTTTCTGATCTGTGTGTGCTTTGTTTCAGAGAGACACAGATGCTCAGGCTCTGAGTTTCTCTGTGTAAACAACGTGCCTCCATCCAGGAGGTGCATTCCCCAGTCTTGGGTGTGTGATGGCGACGCAGACTGTACTGATGGCTATGATGAGCGGCAGAACTGCACCCGGGGGTCTTGCTCTGGAAACGATTTCATCTGTAATGATGGACAGTGTATCCCTGACTCCTACAGGTGAAATGGGGATTAAAAATTTCCCCAGAAACCCAAAACACCCATGGGGCTAGAGCTGACTTATCCATTAGGCATGGTGGCTTCAGTGGTCTATGAAAATGTTTAGATTTCTTTTAAAACCAGAAGGAAAAACAGAGACATTTTAAATCAAGGAAAGAATTTTAATCCTATATAATAAAGAGATAATATGCAAATTGACCATCATGCCCATGCACAAGATGGCCGCCCCCATGTGGCCACAAGATGGCTGGCAGGGGAGGGCAGTTGTGAGTGATCAGGCTAGCAGGAGAGGGCAGTTGGGGGTGACCGGGCCTGTAGGGGACGGAGGGCAGTTGGGGGGAACCAGGCCTCCAGGGGATGGCAGTTAGGGGTGACCAGGCTGGCAGGCAGAAGTGGTTATGGGTAATCAGGCAGGTGAGTGGTTGGGAGCCAGCAGTCCCGGATTGTGAGAAGGATGTTGGACTGCCTGTAGGATCGGGCCTAAACCGGCAGTCGGACATCCCCTGAGGGGTCCCAGATTGGAGAGGGCGCAGGCTGGACTGAGGGACACCCCCCCACCCCCCAGTGCATAAATTTTATGCACCAGGCCTCTAATATATAATATTAATATACATATCTGCCTTTATACCAATGTTATTATTAAATATAACTTTAAGTATTTTATGAAGGAAAGGGCTCATGAAAATGCAAGTGCTTAGGGCTCATGAAAGACATCATGTGACCTTGCACAGGGGCCTGGGATATGAATGAAGTAGACTTGATATAAGAAAACTTTTTCCTTAAAGCAGATGACCCTCTTGATTTTCTATTTGGAATAGAGGCATGGGGGTAAGAAATGCTTCACTTTCTTCTTTGCTATGAGAAAAATGAGTTGCAAGTAGGATGATAAATGGAGCTTGGCCCTTGGGCTCAGAGTAGGGGAGACAACAGGAAGAGACAGGTGAGGTGAATGAGAGCACGTGCTCCAGCACTCAGCATTGTGCAGGAGTGGCAGGAGAGCCAGACCTCCTATGCTCTCTCTCCCCCCCTTTTTTTTAAGAGAAGTCGGAAATCTGGATTTTCATATGAAATATTCAGATTTTTCAATGCTGGAAACAAGTTTTAAATTTATAACACTGTGTAAATCAGACTCAGCTCACAGCCTGCAGTTTGGGGGAACCTGTCCTATAATATTATGGTGTTTGATTTCTCATTATTTTCTCCAAAATGAGCAATTCAAAAAGTTTCTATTTTTTTTTTTTTAGTGCCCTAAGATCTCATTATCCTCACTTAGCAACTTTTTAGATAGGGAAATTGAGAAGAAATATGATATACAGGTTTCAATCCTGATGGAGTAAGAGAATAGTAAGAACATTAAAATAAAATAGCAGAATCCAGAAGGGACTTTGCTCAAGGTGGATGGTGAGTTTGATGTATTCGGATTTCCTGAGGTGAAAATATGCATTCGGCATTCAGACACACAGAACTGGAGCTAAGAAGAGATATTGCACATGTATATTGAGAGAACAAGACCTGTCAGCTCACAGCCTACTAGGAGAGGAGACAGAAAAGATATATGAAGCTTCCCAAGGTCAGAGCAGCAGAGCTCCTGGGACTGTTTGCTGAGGGGCAAGCAGCCCTGGAATACAGCAGGGCGCAGAACCATGTGCTGACGGTGGTGGTGCCGAGGAAGGCGAAGGTTAAGTCATCCTGTGAAGGTTGTGAAAGGAGCAGGGACTTGACATTATGACTAAAAATAGTAGTGATTAAAGAAGTAGATAAAAGTTGTCTAAAAAGTGTCCTCTTATGGGATGACTCATCTCCTAGTGGAGCCAATACGGACGTTGTGTTGAGGTGGCGGTTTGAATACTAACAACCTGCAGACGTCAGGAGGCAGAGCTGTCTCCTTTCTTTAGTGAACTTGCATTTAAATCTGCTTTGTGTATATTTAACTTATATGGATGTGATCTTCAGATGCTGTCTTTGTGCAAGGAAGTGAATAATCTTTATATTTTCTCCCTATTTGCTCAAGATTTATGTTGTACTGATATTTGGTTCTTCCGAATCCAATTAATATTTATTACCACCAGTCTTGCATATATTCTGAAAACCCAGGCATAGGATCTAGGGAATAGAATTATATCAGTTCTTAATTTATTCTGGGTTATTTCACTTCCTTTCTGGGCTTTCTGAGCTCTGCCTTCATTATTATTATGAACTAGCATCTGACTTACCTGCCCTACCAGACAACTGATTTCATTCATCTTTTCTTGCTTCCTCTCTTTTTTTTTTTCTCCCCTGAGCCTTCTGAGTTGCTTTTGACAAGGGCTATGGTAGAAGAGAAAAGATACTATTTGTCTGGAAACTTGAGCTATAGGGTCTAAAATAGCTCCAAATTTGTTTGCCTGGAGTGCCAGGAGCCTCCACTAAGTATACTGTGAACGTGCACATTTTTGCTTGCTTGTCAGAAAGTCTACCTCCCCATTTGGCACAGTGGTCATATTTCCTATTGATTTTTTTCCCTCTTGACTCATTACTAATGTTGGCTGAAGAACCTAGATATGACTGAGTTGTGAGCAGCTCGCTGGAATATAGACATACAACTGTGTCTAAACACCTGGTGATTTGCTTGCCTAAGCGACTTACTTTTTCCTCTTGAATTGCATCTAAACAAGAGGAAAGAAAGCATTGGTATCTTAAATCATTTGGAAATGAGTTAAATAGCTCTCAGAGGAGACCAAATGGGGCTGAGCCAGCTTGCATTGATTGTAGCTTTCTTTACAGTTACATGTTCACATTTTGGTATAAATCACATTGGCAGTGCCCTAGGTTTGTGGATAAGAGTGCTAATTAGAAGACTTGACCATAGATCCGTTGTAAAATTGACCACATTCATCTTTGATACCTTAATGTCTTATAATGCTCTGCTTCCAACTCCTGTGCTCTTTTATGAATTGTCAAACATTGTTTCTGCCTATCCTTATTCAAGATGCTTTTATACTTATGATGAGTTTTGTTACTGTTAGCAGGGCCCCCTTCAGTAATCATGACTTTCATGGGATCTTGGAACAATGTAGAGGAGAAAGAATCGTCTGGCTCGCAGAGTTGTAGGAAATTTTATTGTCTTCATGATGCCTAGGAATGTTGGATCCCAAAATAGCTTCTAGAACTATGAAATGCTTTTTTTTCCTTTGACAGTAGTCCATGCTAACCTACTAGTTTTTCATCTTTCCCATAGTCATTACTATTCTCATCTCATGGTAGGTGGCAGGAGTATTACAATGAAAGATGGAAGTAACACGATTGGTAAACATTACTTCAATTGGAAGATATGTGTTCTTAGAGGACACATCTAATAATATCATCATTTATAATATACTAGAGGTTCACGAAATTCATGCATGGGTAGGGTCCCTAGGCCTGGCTGGTGATCAGGGCCCATCTGTGGAGCTACCAGTGGGGCGATCAGAGGTGGGGGGGGGGTGCTGCTGGAACCTGCCTTGGTGGGCTGGGGGCAGCTCCTGTGTTGAGTGTCTGTCCTCTGGTGGTCAGTGCATGCCATAGCGACCGGTCGTTCTGCCTGTTGTTCCACCCATTCAGTCAATTTGCATATTAGGCTTTTATTATAAAGGATAGCACTCATCCTATGAGTATCTACTTGAGTGTCAGCACTTCTGGCATATGGCTACCCAGGATATTTCTTATGCCCATAAGCTGTCTCATTATCTGATGAATGGATATTTTGAACACCAAAATTATAAAAGTTGTATTTAATTAATTTATCAACTGGGGAAAAATGAATGCAATTTTAAAAATAGCTATAGGCCCACATTTCCGATGGTAACAACCAGCATCTGGGGAAGTTGTGTGGAGTGCTAACTATTATATTCCTCAATTGCTGGAAATTGGTGGGTGGATGAAGATTCTGGTAGAGGGAGACTAATGACATTGGGGATATTGTTATTGAAATGTTCAACCTGGTGTTCAGGTAGAAGAAATAGTTGAGACTTGTCAACCTCTGCAAGAGTTGTACTGGGTCTCCTAACAGGTGTGACCGGCACAATGACTGTGGTGACTACAGTGATGAGAGGAACTGCTTATACCCCACCTGCAATCAGAATCAGTTTACCTGTCAGAATGGGTTCTGCATTTATAAAACCTACGTCTGTGATGGGGTTAATGACTGTAGAGATGATTCTGATGAGCTGGAGCACTTGTGCCATGTCCCTGAAACCACATGCCCCCCTCATCAGTTCAAGTGTGATAATGGGAATTGCATCGAGATGGTGAAAGTCTGCAACCACCTAGATGACTGTTTAGACAACAGTGATGAGAAAGGATGTGGTGAGTATATAACAGAAGATTTGGGAAAAGGAAAATGGAGAGACTGAATATAGAGTCTCAACCCTTTATGACTTATCAGGACTTTCCAGTCTGTTCTCTAAGTAGAAAATTACCAGAACATTGCTATTTCTTATCTATCAAAGGGAAGGATTAATCAGTACATAAGGTTAGTGCACAAATGTTTCTGGACTTATTTATCAGTTAGGCAGTTCATTACAGAGAACAGAAGATGAGCACAGTCAGACCATCAGTAGCTAAGAGCATTGATTCTCTTTGAATCCTTAGAATGACTTGCTACCTGAGCTTGCCCCTCTGCTGGGATTTCTTAGCCTGTTCTTCATCTTCATCCTCAGGTGATTGAAGGAGAGAGTTTTAACCTCCCCCTCACTCCAACCCCCACAAGTCAACTACTTTAGAATTTATAAAATGGTAGATTAATAAGAACCCACTCTCCTCCCTGTGTAGATAGTTTCGTTAGTTTGGCCATGTGTCACAGGCCAAAGGCCCACCCAGTGGAGTGCTGGGTGGCTCATCCATGAGAGCCACATGTGTGCATCTCTTCCCAGATACCTGTAGTGCTGTCATAGCAGTAGCCTGAAATTGGCCATGGCATGAGTAGCCGCATCACTGAAATGGAAGATGCTACATATCGGTATAGGATTCAAAGTCAAACTTAAGCTTGTTAGTTGTATCAGTTGTTAGAATCATTGGTAAAGTGATTAAGTTGGAGAGGAAATTGAAAAAAACTAATCTATAGCCTTGAGAAATCCAGTATTGTCTGTCTACGTTTAGCATGATTAAGAATTGGTGCTTCAGAGTGGAAATGTTGATTTTGGGCCATTATGGTGAATCCACTGTTGACATTTTATGTTCTCTAATAACTTTGTTTTATCTCCAGGCATTAACGAATGCAATGACCCTACACTCAGTGTCTGCGACCATAACTGCACAGACACCTTAACCAGTTTCTATTGTTCTTGTCGTCCTGGTTACAAGCTTATGTCTGACAAGCGGACTTGTGGTGATATTGATGAATGCAAGGAGACGCCCTTTGTTTGTAGCCAGAAGTGTGAGAACACAATGGGCTCTTACATCTGTAAGTGTGCCCCAGGCTACATCCGAGAACCAGATGGAAAGAGCTGTCGGCAAAACAGTAACATCGAGCCCTATCTCATATTCAGCAACCGTTATTATTTGAGAAACCTAACTATAGATGGCTCCTTTTACTCCCTCATCTTGCAAGGACTGGGCAATGCTGTGGCGTTGGATTTTGACCGAGTAGAAAAGAGATTATACTGGGTTGATATAGAGAAAAGCATCATCGAGAGAATGTTTCTGAATAAGACAAACAGGGAGACAATCACGAAGCACAAACTACCAGGTGTAGAAAGCCTGGCTGTAGACTGGGTTGCCAGGTAAGAAAACAGGAGTTTTTTAAAAGTTAAAAAAGAATTTTTTTAAAAACATTTCTAACATATGTTTTCTTTTTAACAGGGAGTTGATCTTTTTCAACTTGGTTAATATGTGGATACATTTAATGCCTCTGCATATTTTTTTTCTCCTATTGTGTACCTAATACTTAAATGGGATACCACAGAACCTAAAATCTAGTGACTTTAAAAATGTATGCTATCATTTTTGGGGGAGGGGTATCACAAATGAGAAGGGTGCTCTGTTATTCATGGCCACTCAGTTAACTAGAGATGATGTTAAAGGATAATTCATGCACTCACTGGTAATTTCAGTCACTGTGAAGCGGACCAGGCCCTGGGGATACTGAGCAGCCCTGCTATCCTGAGTTCATAGTCTGTCTTATCGCATTAGTCATTCCCAGCCTGGGCTGATTACAAAATAGCAGAAGGCTAACCTGGAACTTTTGTTTTGAGACAGTCCTAGAAACTGAGGGTCTTTAAGGTAAGCTAGGGATATTTTAATCAAACTTTATAGAGTCAGCAACAGTTCCTGACACCTTTGTTGAATGTTGAATCTGTCAGATACTCGGCAGCGTAAAGTAGTTGGCTTTGTGGTTAACAGATTGGAGCAGAACCATGTCTGCTAATGTTATGCCACCATCAGCCCAGTCCTACAGAGGACTCTTCCACTTCTTCTCTATTTGACAATCTTAAGGGTAAAGATCCTAAAATGGGGATGAGGGAGTTTGCTCCCTAGTTCTACCTAAGTAGTAGCCGGCCTGCCATAGGTGCTCAATAAGTGCCTGCTGAATAATTAATTAAATATTGGCTGTGAATATGTGTATTTTATGGCCCTACCAGGTGTAAAAAAAGCAGAGCAATTAATGATTTGCAGGAATAGAACTAAGTATTAAGAAAGTAAAGCTAGAATCCTGTGTGAGGTGTGGCCCCAGAATTTCTTATGTGACATCATCTTAAAGGGGGATTGTAGCACATATTTCATCTTTCATTACCCCATTGTAGGAAGGTCAACTTTTCCTCTTTGCCCTTGTTTGCCTGGGGAAAAGTGCCTCCTAGTAATTGTATGTGTGATTCCAGGGTAGTTTGGATAGGAAGTTGGGTGGTTAACTGCACTGTTTCACAAACAAAATGTCTGCATGAGTAACTCCGGGCTCTCCATTTCAGAAAACTTTATTGGGTAGATGCCTACCTGAAGTGCCTCTCTGTCTCCGACCTAGATGGTCGATACCACCGCAGGCTGGTCGAACACTGTTTGGATGCCAACAACACCTTCTGCCTTGATAATCCCAGAGGAATTGTCCTTCACCCTCAATATGGGTATTGTCTCCCTGTAATCTTGGGCTCTCCTTTCATGCCCTTATTCTGCCTCTGTTATCTCACGGCCAATATCTTGCTGGGATTTGTCTCCGGCCTTTTCTACCTGGTAAATGGTTTAGTAGCATGGCTTATTCAAATAATATTCATGAGCTTTTCTGTTTTCATTGTCATGACTCATTATTTCACTTTTCAAGTCACATATTTTGGTTGCATGAAAAAAAATAGTAAAAAAAACACACCCACCTTTACTGGAATTTCCCTTCCAAGTCCACTGAAATCCCCAGTTAATCATGTTCATTCTTGAGCATTATCTGTATATCTTCCTCCTTTAGATTATTTTCTGTTAGTTCACTTTTCTTTCTGATAGGTTTTTTTAGAATGTAAACTTTATCTAATTGGAAAAGAGCCATGTCTTTTGGCTGTTGACTTCTTTTGGCTTCAGGAACTGACCCTTTGTGTTTGCTCCAACAGGTATGTCTACTGGGGAGACTGGACCCGCAGGGCATACATTGGGAGAGTAGGCATGGATGGAGTCAATAAATCTGTGATTATCTCTACCAAGATAGCGTGGCCCAATGGCCTCACCATTGATTACACCAATGATCGACTCTATTGGGCAGATGCTCACCTGGGTTACATTGAGTACGTATACAGAAAAGAATAAAGCAAACTGGGTAACTGTTTATGCCAAACACCAGGACATGTGTTGCCAGGCAGCTTCTAATTGGCCTGTGAATTGGAGGTCACTCTGAGGTCACTTCTATCTAAAACTGCCCACAGGCAATTCACTGAGCTCTGTGGTATGATACAATAGAAGGAGAGTGAATTTTGAAGTCATACAGATCAGGTTTTTGTCCTGGTGCTTTCTTTTTTTTTGTTTTCTTTTTGTTTTCACATCTAAAAAGTGGAGCTAGTAATCTCTCCTCTATGATAGCTTAGTGCTCAATCTATTTTAATTCCTTATCCCTTTATTTTACTCTTCCCTCCCAAATACACGATTAATAAATACATTTTAGCATGTGAAAAAAGAACAAAGTGTTAAAAAGATTTTCCCTAATATAACTTTAATGCCTTCATTGATAAGTAAATTGATGTGTTTTATAGCCTTAGAATTTGTTAACATTTATTCAATATGATAACGCATTCAAATCATTCTAGTAAAAGCAATTAAAAAATCTTAAATATTATACTGTTCAATGAAAAATACTCATTGTAAAAAGGGTAATATCCTTTCTTAACCAACCGGTACATGTTTATTTTGGGGCATTGTTAGTTATGTTCTAGGTCAGTGATGGCAAACCTTTTGAGCTCGGTGTGTCAGCATTTTGAAAAACCCTAACTTAACTCTGGTGCCGTGTCACATATAGAAATTTTTTGATATTTGCAACCATAGTAAAACAAACACTTATATTTTTGATATTTATTTTATGTATTTAAATGCCATTTAACAAAGAAAAATCAATCAAAAAAATGAGTTCGCGTGTCACCTCTGACACGCGTGTCATAGGTTCATCATCACTGTTCTAGGTGGACTGTAGTAATGTCTTCTGGGTAAACATTTATGAACAGGTACCCAGATACATTCAATAGGCTGTTACATTCAAAAGCATGGAATTGTCATTAACTCAATAGAATTATTTTAAAATGCCTTTAAAGATTTTGTCATTCTTTTCAATTTATTTTACTGCCAAAGTCAGTGTGGAAATATTTGAAGTTCTCCCATTCCATGTTCTCTTGGGAACATGCCATTAAGAAGGGAAGAATACGTGGCACACATTCTAGTGCTCTATCCTGTGCTCATGGCAGACATAGTTAATCATAGTTAATTTGGACAGTTCCCTACAATTCTCCCCTGTTGACACATGAGATGAAGACTCTTTGGGATTCCTATCCTGGAAAGCAGAGGACACTGAATTGTTTTGATAGGCTATGCCACCAGCCTCTGCTTCTCTCTAACACCTGTTTTGAGCTCAGTGGAATTACCTTAATGATTTTAGTTTTATGATATGTTTAGGGTCAGTAGGAAAGGACTTGTAGGTTATTCTTAGTCCTTTAGGACTTGTAGATTATTTTTGGTCTTGAATGTTTGGAGGTTTAACTGAAATAGACAGTGTACACATAGTACTTTAAGGAGCATTAAAGGCATAAAGGAATTTTTTAGCTACTTAATATTCTGCTCCCTTTTTTATAAAACTTGTGTAGCTAGATTCTAAAATTGAGGCAGTAGGTTACTGCTTAAAATTCCAATCTTAATATCAGGCACTGTGATCTGGGAATGAATGAATCTTTAATATTCATGTAGCCATTTTGACTTGATCAACTCTTGGAGGGGTAGCAATGCCTGTGTTGAGAAGTACATTTCATGGACTACATAAGTAAACACATTTTTGTGGAACATATAATTCATTCTTGAACATGTTGGTATGTGTTATCACATCCCCTTTGGAGAAGTGTCTATTCAGATCCTTTGCCCACAGATAGTGATTAAGTTCTGGTTATTTATCTACAGTCTTCTTAACAGAGGCTAAGGAGGTCTTCAACTTTTTTTATAAGTTACCATCAATCATGGTGTTTTGGAAAATATTTCTGACATCACATGGCTAACATTATCAAGTTTCTTAGTTGCTAGCTCATTTCACCTCCTGTTTGAGTTTTTAGAGTTAGCTCCAAAATTTAAAAATACTTAAAATATCAATATTCTGACAGACTTGCCCTAACTGGTTTGGCTCAGTGGATAGAGTGTCTGTGGACTGAAGGGTCCCAGGTTCAATTCTAGTCAAGGGCACATGCCCGGGTTACAGGCTTTATCCCCAGCAGCGGGTGTGCAGGAGGCAGCCAATCGATTATTCTCTCTCATCATTGATGTTTCTAACTCTCTCTCTCCCTCCTTTCCTTTCTGAAATCAATAAGAATATGTTAAAAAATTATTCTGACAGACTCAGAGAAATGAATGAGCTGGAACTAGGAGGACCTAGATAGTTGTCTGTGAATGCTCTTGTGACATCTTGAAATCAGAGAACCTCCTTTGAAGGCTTATTTATCTGGAAAAGTATTCATTAATAGTGCCCAGGGGATGATTAATAATAATAAATATGCTGCCAGTATATGCATAGTCAAACCTGCAGGCTATAATTTATTTCAGCTAGTATATGCCGCTCAGATTATACTGAGAACCCAGCTGTCTCCTAGAACAGCTTCTCCCCCAAAATGTTCATGAGAAGGCAGAATTCCAGCTCTGTATTGTTATCCTCTGATTTCTTCCAATGACTTAGGAGACAAAACCGGTTTTCATCCCAGGATATCAAAAGGGTGCTTAATGGAGAACATACGATAGCTGAACTAGCTGTATGTGTAGGAAAACAGCTGTGGCTAGGAATTTGTGATTATTTAAACTTCTCTGGCCATTCCTATTTTTAAGGCATCACCTTTTCCACTTTTACATCTTTAGTTCAGTCAAAATAGCCTTTATTTATTAAATAAAACCGTGACCTTCTGGTTCATAGTCCCATGCTCATCTAATGAGCCACACCAAGGGACTCTTTTGACTGACTTTCTTTTCCTACCCCAGGTACTCTGATTTGGAGGGCCAAAATCGACACACCGTGTATGATGGAACCCTGTCTCACCCTTTTGCTATTACCATTTTTGAAGACACTATTTATTGGACTGATTGGAATACAAGGACAGTTGAAAAGGGAAACAAGTATGATGGATCAGATAGAATGGTGCTGGTGAACACAACACATAGACCATATGACATCCACGTATATCATCCATACAGGCAGCCAATCGGTGAGTAGATGATCCAGAAGTTTGACACAGTTGCTTTAGGTTCTTATGCATGACATTCTTGTTTACTTCATCTCTAGAGGCCCGATGCATGAAAATTCATGCAAGAGTAGGCCTTCCATCCCCTGGCTGCCAGTACTGGCTTCCCTCCAGCACCCAGGACCCGGGCTGCTTCCCTCATCCGGCTACCCGCAGGCACCCAGGACCTGGGCTGGCTCCCCTCTGGACCCAGCTTTGTCAGGAAGGATGACCGGAAGACATCTGGTCTAATTAGCATATTACCCTTTTATTATTATAGATTATTATAGACTAGAGGTCCAGTGCACAAAAATTTGTGCACTCGGGAAGGTCCCTCAGTCCGGCCTGGACCCTCTCGCAGTCTTGGACCCCTCGGGGGATGTCCACCTGCTGGCTTACGTTTGCTCCCTGGGGGATTGGGCCTAAGCTGGCAGTCAGACATCACTCTGGCAGCGCGGGAGCCCTCGGGGGATGTCCACTTGCCAGCGGGGAGCAGGCCTAAGCTGCAGTCTGACATCCTTAGCACTGCTGAGGAGGTGGGAGAGGCTCCCACCACCACTGCTGTGCTGGCAGCTGTCAGCCTGGCTTGTGGCTGAGCAGAACTCCTCCTGTGGGAGCACCCTGACCACCAGAGGGCAGCTCCTGCATTGAGCGTCTGCCCCCTGGTGGTCAGTGTGTGTTATAGTGACCAGTCATTCCCAGTTGTTTTGCTGTTAGGGTCAATTTGCATATTACCCTTTTATTATATAGGATAAACCTCATGATTTATAAAGGGAATGGTGTTACTTCTTAATCTTTTCTATAGAACATATGTTGAAAGCTGAGGGTATGGAATATCTTTAGAGTTTATTCCCCTCCTAAAAAGGCTGCTTATAACTCTTTTTCTTAACAGTGGCTCTATTCCTAAAAATCAATCTGGGTTTTTGTGTATGGTGAGAATTAACAGTTTTTATATTGCCATATTTACTTTATCAATTTTGGTTACAGCACTGAAGTATTTTAAAGGGAATTAAAAATATCGTCACATTTCAGTCTTAAATACTTAAGGAAGCACTTTTGAAAAATAAGAACATTTCCTATATAGACACAATAAATTCTAATACCTAAGAGATGTATTATAATTATATAGATGTAGTTATAACAATAATTCCTTAATACTAAGATCAGTCTATTGGAATGGTTGGTCTAAAAGAAATTTATAATTATAAAGCATCATATATTAAATGTCGATTTGCATATGACATTTGTGTGTTCTGTATTTAATGTATGTTTTGCTTGTCTTCTGGAAGGTCAAAACGTCAAGAACAACACATTTCAGTGTATTATAAGTTAGGGAACTTGTTTTTATTTATTTGTGAACTTATTTTCCCCTTCATGCAGTTGAAGTCATTATATGATTCACGGATAGTCTAGCAAAAGTATATTTTGAGGGTATAATGGATTTTATGAGCCTGCATGGTTGTTGTGTTTTTCTAAAACATATGGTAAACTTGGAAATAAGAAAAATAATTGGAAAAATAAAGATATTCAATATTTCTTTCTAGAAGTTAATATTCTCCTATTATTTTTTTCAAATTAGTCTTTATTTCCAAGTGGCAGCTCAGAAAATTAGTAAAGATGCCGCTCAGTTTATCGATTCACCTCATCCTTGGCCATAATTCTGTTGCCTATATCCTTAGAATGAGAGAATATAGCATCTGCTGGAAATTAAAACTTTAACTTAGGTTCTGGATATATGAATGTAAGCTAAGTTCCCTACCTACTCTCCAAGGTCTACTCCAAAATACCAGCGAGTATATCTCACTTCTGGTACCGTACAAATCAGTTTTCTCAAAGCACAGTGCTGCTTGTGCAGCTGTCTCATCTGTCCTATTTACGAACTTGTGGAAAAAGCATGACACTAGGATAATGATTTTTCTTACTGAGAGGTGATGAGTTTGATGAAGTGGGTAATCAGCTCATTTGTGCTTGATAGCCTCTCTCAGTGAATGAACATATATATTTTCTTTCTTCTTTCACTAGTGAATAATCCCTGTGGTACCAACAATGGTGGCTGTTCTCATCTCTGCCTCATCCAAGCAGGAGGGAATGGATTCACCTGCGAGTGTCCAGATGACTTCAAGACCATCCAGCTGGTTGACAGCACTCACTGCTTGCCCATGTGCTCTAGCACCCAGTTCCTCTGTGCTAACAATGAGAAGTAAGGCTGTCTCTCCATCCATTGGATACACACTGAACTTTAAGGCTCCAGGGGACGGGAATTTTCAAATGAATCAAGATTTTGGCTAATTAATGTGGTTCATTAGCCTCACCACAGTCTATAATTTCAGATAATTTCTTCCATGAATGGAAGGAACTTATTAACCAGTACAAGTTTTTATATCTGTGGAAAGGAAGCAAACAATAAGCAAACAAAGTTATTGTTTTGTTTTGTTTTTTCTAATAAATTGTCCTAAGTGTCAGGGCCAACATATGTTAGATATGTGTATACTGAAAAATAGCCCTCAAGAGTGATAGAAGTTCTCTTGTCTTTTTTCATGTACACTGGCCTAGCTTCCTCGCTAACTCTACTAGAGGATCCAGGGTTATAAATGCAAATTATTTTTGATCGTGTGTTTGCTGTGAAACATGGCCACAGATTATTGATGACTTGGGACTGAGTCAGAGAGTGGGGTGAGGACACGTGTTAATGCAAATCATAGCATCTAAGATTCAATGGCAGATTATTTTGATGATTATATAAGATGTCTTAGATTAAGAATCTAGCGTATACCTATCATGACTTAGGCGTTCAACAAATGTGAGCGACCTTCAAATTCCCAGCCAATATCCAATGTCTTTTATATTGCCAGGCAGACAATTCCAGATCATCCCTGATACCAGAACCACAGCTCCAAATGCATACTCCACTGTTTGTTGTGGCAGAATTTAATCATCATACTCAAAGCATTTTTCCAGCATGTATCTGAATCTTAACAAACCTGTTCTATCTCATCTAATTATGTTTTCTCTGAAAATATACCACAGTAACCAAGATTTAACTGATTCTCTTTTCAAGGCATGAGAGAACTCATGCATATCATTACTTGGAATTCAGTTTTGCCTCTTCTCTCCAGATAACCATTGAAAACTCCTCTACCGACCACCCCTGGGGCTTTGCTAAGAGAAGTGGTATATTTTTTCATGCAGGTGTATTCCTATCTGGTGGAAATGTGACGGACAGAAAGACTGCTTGGATGGTTCCGATGAACCCCCCACTTGCCCACAGCGCTACTGCCATCTAGGACAGTTCCAGTGCAAGGATGGCAACTGCACCAGTCCGTACTTCCTATGTGACACTCACCAAAATTGCCCTGATGGATCTGATGAAGACCTTGTTCTTTGTGGTATGTTGAATTGCTTTATGCCTTCTTTGCTCATTTCTATAGTTGATTGTGTACAAATGATTCTGTGGGGATTTTCTGAATGTCATAAACCTTTTTATTCTTTAAATATATTTTTATTGATTATATCGAGGAAGGTAGAGGGAGAGAGAGATAGAAACATCAGTGATGAGAGAGAATCATTGATTGGCTGCCTCCTGCATGCCCCACTCTGGGGATCAAGCCCGCAACCTGTGTATGTGCCCTTGACTGGAATCGAACCCGGGACCTCCTGGTTCATAGGTGAACGCTCAACCACTGAGCCATGCCTGGCCAGGCAATGTCATAAACCTTTTAAAAATCAGTCCAATGTCTTAAGAGAAAACTTCACCCTATATCTATTTTTATAAAGGTTTTTTTTTTTTTTTAGAATACCTAAGGGCTTTACAAGGCAAATGTAGAATCCTCTTCGACAGCTAACACTGGGGGAAATGAGGGTTTCCTACCCCCATATTAATCAGGACACTAGTTATAATGTTTATTTATGTTTCCATTTTTAAAAAGTAAAAAAACACCTTAAAAAAACCCCTCCAATCTAATAACAACATAACAACAGCAACAAACACAAAGTTTTTGTATGTTTTTTTAAACACTAACTTTGAAAAACATTGTTCATTAGGGCAATAGGGACTTGGGAAGATGAACTTAGTAGGCCATCAGTGATTCAGTCCTTATCCCCTAATTCTGCATGCAAGAAAAAGATATTTAATAATTTAAGAGATGGTATAGTCAATTGCCCATGTAGTAGTACTGTTGGTAGTAAGTGCATTAGGACATAATTCCTCTAAAAATAAATTATGATTGAGTTCTCCAGGATCTATCAGTGTAAAATAGTAGCTTCTATTCCTGACACCTTCCAAATGCTCTTGCCTGCAGAGCACCACAAGTGTGAGTCCAATGAATGGCAGTGTGCCAACAAACGTTGCATCCCAGAAGCCTGGCAGTGTGACTCAGTGAATGACTGCGGGGATGACTCAGATGAAGACAGTTCCCACTGTGCCAGCAGGACCTGTCCTTCTGGTTATTTCAAGTGTGCCAATGGCCACTGCATCCCTCAGACCTGGAAGTGTGATGTAGACAATGACTGTGGAGACTACTCGGATGAGCCCGTCCATGAATGCAGTAAGTGCCTGTAGGAGGGGCATGGCCTGACCGGGGGCACAAAACAAAGAGAATGTCTGTGTGATTGAGAGAAGATGTTGAGCCTCCTGTTTCATCCCTGTGGGACACCCTTTTTGGCTTTCTCTGCTCACTCTGGCACGGCAAGACAACCTGTGGCCTGCATCCTGTTTCTGAATGTGGTGATTTCTCCTCTTAATACATTGAACGTCTATCTGTTCAGAATATGATAACGAGAACTTACATCTTGTATATCTAGTACTTTCTCATTGGAGCCTCTGAGGAATATCTGAGGTCAGGAATGTGGGTGTTATTAATTCCCATTTTGCAGATGAAGAAACTGAGGTTCAAATTTAATGGATGGTCATTTTTTTTATTTCGTGGCAGAGCTGACACTTCAAACCCAGTTTTATTTGGCTCTATCCACTGAGCCAAACCAGCTAGGGCTCAACCCCAGTTTTTAAATTTCAAACCCAGTCCTTTTTCTTCCCACAAAGAAAACGCAAATGAGTAATAGTAAGAGAAAACTTCCTTCCTTGGTAAACAGTTCACACCTAAAACAGACACATGTTGCCAGAGTCAATTTAGTTGATGTTGATACTCATCAGCACCATTTCCTAAATGTGACAGTGGAAGGTATTTTTTGGTGCCATTTCCCGGCAGGACTGAGACTTCAGTTTTGACATTGCTTCTTCCTCTTTTCAGTGGGCCCTGCCTATCGCTGTGACAACCATACAGAATTCAGCTGTAAAACCAACTACCGCTGTATCCCAAAGTTGGCTGTGTGCAATGGTGTCGATGACTGCAGGGACAACAGCGATGAGCAAGGCTGTGGTAGGAGGGGCTGCAGGGAAGTGGGGAGGGACAAGAAAATGTAAGTGTCCAGTGCTATTATCAGAAGATGAGAGTGGATTTCCCATGTAATCTTGCCTTTGTTTACACCTGAAAAAAGACTTATCTATTGATTCTTCTAATAACATGTTACATTTTTGTAGCATTTTACAGGGTTATTTGGGAAGTTTAATTTATAGCATCTTGAATGAAATCTCATCCCAAAGGATGCTGTACTAGTAATTAGGGAAGGCATTATTAAGAAACTAGGCACTGACAGCATGGAGCGATTGGGGCTGGCGCCAACAGCAGGTACAAGTGGAGCTGGCACTGTCAGTAGGTGCTAGCAGCAGTGGCTGCCCCGATTGCTCCTCAGGAGCAGGGGGAGGTGGAGAAGCCCTGAGGGGTGATCAGGGCTGGCTCCGGCAGCAAGTGCAAGCACCCGGCAGGACCATTTTGTGCGGGAGCTAAGAATTTTCAGTAACCACCAGAGGCTTGCACCGATGACAGCAATAGGTACTCCGCCTTTGTCTGGCGCCCCTGCTCACCTGCTCCACCATCTGGCCGCAACAGATGCCCACCATGTTGTACGTGCACTCCCTGTTGGTCAGCGCATGTCATAGAGACCAGTTCGGTTCTGCCATTCAGTTTATTTGCATATTAGGGTTTTTTATATATAGATTAGGAACTTGTAAAATTTTTCCTAAATTGAATCCTTATTTACACTTGATAAGTTTAAATTGTTTATCTGCTCTTTTAGATTGGTTGAAATTGATGAGGCTAGAGAAAAGATTTAGCATCTACATGTAAAAGGGTATTTCAAAGTTTGTGTTTCTTATTTGGAGATTTTTATATTCTGAATGTCTCTCTGACTTTCAATATCATCTATTGTTCAGTTGTAGTCACCCTGGCAATAAGAAATAACTTATGGGCAAAAGCCAAATTAATTAATGGAATTTATGAAGATTAGGCATATATTCTAACTTGAAACCAAAATGACTATGAGTGTGTTAGATTAGTTGGAAGAACAGTTAGGAAGAGAATGGGTTATTTTAATAAAACTGAATCTAATCAAGTGAAGACAATGTGATAGAAATGTTCTGTTTGCTGGTGGCACCACTTACTCTTCCAGTGTGGGCCTCCGTTGCAAATTACAAGCCAGATACCAATTCAAATCTCATTCCAAAGGATGCTATACTAGTAATTAGGGAAGGCATTATTAAGAAACTAGGGGCCCAGTGCACGAATTCATGCACCTTGAAAGGAACGGAAAGAAACAACTGAACTGTTTCTACAAAAGAGAACGGATGTTTCTCTTTTGAGTTTCAAGTGGTAGGATAGGTTCAGCCAAAAGAGGATTATTGACAGTGAGTGTTGCTGGCATTCCTCCCTCTGGGAGCTTTGAGAATATGGTAGCAAATTCTCATAAGAAAGCCATCACTCCTTTGGCATTTCTTGACCATTGGCCTCTGAAGTCTTTGCAATGACTGTGCTTTGCAGAGGAGATGACGTGCAAACCTTTGGGGTTTTTCCGCTGCAATAATCACCTGTGCATCCCTCTTCGCTGGAGATGTGATGGGCATGATGACTGTGGAGATCACTCAGATGAGGAAAGCTGTGGTGAGTGTTCAGGGTTCTGTCATCTGTGTGTGCCACCAGAGCTGTGATGTCTGCTTTTCTGTCCACAATTCAACTGTCTTTGCCTTGGTCCTTTCCTTCTGCTAACTGGTACATTTCTACTTTGTCTTTAACTAAGGACAGAAGCATCTCCTGAGATGCCTATAATCAAACTTTGGGATGAGGATGTTTATCTGAGTACATCTTTTGTTTGTTGAATTTATTTACACCCAACTTTTTTTCCAAAAAGAACTTCAGGTGACTTACAATAAAGGGCAAATATAATACGATAAATAGAATAGAAATAAATCAGGACCAAGAGAAATACAATAAGAAAAGGTGCTAATTCAAAGATCTTGCTCCCAAATGACCTTAATAGCAAAGGAAAGGGAACTTGTATTTTAGATGGTCATCCTACCTGGAATAGTGACTAGGTTAGGTCTAATGGTTAAATAAGAGGTCAGGTTTTGATTCCTCTCCCCCAGTGAAGGTGCTGACGATAAGAAATTAGACAGGAAGGATGAGGTCAGGAAACCAAACATCCGGATCACACCAAACTAGATTTTTGTGTAACTTATATAATATGTAGTTAGATGTGTTTTGAAGACAGTTTTAGTGAGACCCTTTCCTGAACATACACCATCGACTCATAAATATATATTAATTTCAGATTGACTGATATGAAATACATTCTAACTTTAGTCACCCTGTGGAAGTAAGAAGTGATTATTATTTGCCATAGGCAATTGAGAATATCAATCAGTATACTGATTACACTACAAATATCAATTGACCATAAACTTCTTATACAAAAGGGCAATCCAATTATCATCTTCTTGTTTATAAGAAAGTTTATGTTGAGTCCTGTAGGAGGTGGTCTAGAATCTCATGAAATAAAAATTTATCTTTAGATTAAATCACCTCTTACTGAGTTAACATTGGGGTGGGAAGTCTATTTTTGGAGGATGGACAGTCCGTCCAAGCAGACCTCTGTGACTTGAGACCCCAGAGAGCTTTGGGCACCTAGGGGCTCTTAGGCCTTCTCACCAACCTGTGCTGAGTGATTCCTGGTACCCACTGATGGCCATGTGGTTTTCCTTTTCAGTCCCTCGGGAGTGCTCAGAGAGTGAGTTTCGGTGTGACGATCAGAGATGCATTCCCTCTCGATGGATATGTGACTTTAACAATGACTGTGGAGACAACTCGGATGAGCGGGACTGTGGTAACTGTCACAGTTCTCTGGGAGGCCTTCTTTAGAGTGTTGTACTTAAGTCAGCACATTTGACAGACTATTTGTAAGGTTTTTAGAGTAAAATGATTTTTGTGTAACTTATGTAATATGTAAACCTTAGCATTGCATGGAATCTTCTGTTCTGTTTTTCTATGCTTTATTTTTAACTTGTAGTCGCCTAGATAAATAATAATAAGGGGGAAAGCAAGAGATTTTTAAAAAATCTTATTTTAACTTAAACATTTCGTAGGTGCAGATTTTAATCTGCATCAGCCTAGTAAACAAATAAAAGCATTGGTTCCTACTATTCCCCAGCAAGTGGCCCTAAGGGGAATAGTACTGTAGTTCTCTGGTATGGAAGGCAAAGCATTGGAATAGGAATTAGAAACCCCATGTAATTTTCATAGCTCTTTACCGAGTAAGGGTTGGGTCTGAGAAAAGTCAGCAAACATTAAAAGTTGGGGAATTTATATTGATGAGGAAAAACTTCAGAGATAGAAGAGAAATAGGTACTTCCATCTCTGCCCCTTGAATGGGGAGGTATGATTTTGAGAGATTATTCATTGTTTATTCTAACTGTAAATTGTGGGTTTGTTGAGAGCCAGTGACAGGGTGTGGATTGGAATGCGATTGAGTTCTCGCTACTCCCCCTGGAGCTAATACCTGTCTGAGAATGCCAAGGCCTTCTGAGAACGACAGTCCTTTCTCTGCAGAGATGCGGACCTGCCATCCAGGATACTTTCAGTGTAAGAGTGGACACTGCGTGCCCGACGAGTTGAGGTGTGATGGAATCAGTGACTGTTTGGATGCCTCTGATGAAGCCGTTTGTCGTAAGTTCCTCTACACCTGTGGCACTGCTTATATGAATTGTACAGATATGACAGTTAGACCTTACTGTTCATCAGCCACCACTTCTTAGATTAAAAGGACATCGGTATTTTCTACTCAGCACTCAGTGATAATTATCAGTTCACCTGGGATTTGAGTCCCCATATCCATATATATTCACAGTAGTCATTCAAGGCATTAATAATATTTTAAATAAAGAATATAGTAAGTATTTGTGCTACCAAAAGTATTTATAATTATCAGCTATTATACAAATCATTAATTGGGTAAAAAATTACAGGTAAAAAAATATTTGAACAATGACTAAATGGGTATAGAGAACTTGGATTTCTGAATTTACGGTGTTAAAAAATTCTTTTGAATTGCATGATAGCATATTAAAAGTTATTTAAAATGTAATGCCAATAATGATTGATCATTCACGTTTTACTCTTTAAATTACTGAATAAACAATAACTTTTGATGAATATTCATGATAGATATTGTTGATGATGAGGTTGCCATAAAACCTGCTTTCAAAGAGACTACCTACATAAATGCATCAGGGGTAGAGCTGAGGTTCTGCTCTTGCCTCTAAAGAAAAAGTCCAGTGCTTGCCACAGAATGACTCAGGTCATTGGAAATTGGGCTTGGACAACTGTCCTTCAGAAATATTTCATCAGAATTTCAGGCAGTTCAAGGCCACAGTACATCTGGATGAGTAAGGAAGAGCAGATGATAATGGAAAGAGCTAAAGGAGCAATAGAAGGTCAACTTTCCAAAGCTAGTAACTCCTAATAATTTAAATATGTGTCTTCCCACCAACAGCCACTCGCTTTCCCAACGGTACATACTGCCCAGCTGTTATGTTTGAATGTAAAAATCACATCTGTGTTCAGCCATTTTGGATATGTGATGGTGACAACGACTGTGGCGATGGTTCCGATGAAGAACTTCATCTGTGCTGTAAGAGGGAGGGAAATGGAGTGCGTGGGAGTAGTATTGTCTGGCAAAACCTGTTTCTGAAGTGGAGCATGTGCTCCTGGAGGCAGTTGTATAATTTTGAGTACGGGACACACGATCTGCTTCACTGTGATTTCACTTGGCCTCCCTGTTTTGTTCTCTACTTGGAACATGAGAAAGTTGGGCAAACATCCATGGTTTTAAACATTTTATGGCCTTAAAACACAATTTCTTCTAAAGAAGTCTTAGTTAGAAACCCATTGTGCATAACTGGAGGCACATCTGTTGTGGCTGGAGTCTGGTAGGGGTGTTGTACCTCTCCTACTCCATGCTATTTTCAGTGCCTCTCAAAGTATCTCTTCCAAACCCCTGGAGCAGCGGTTCTCAACCTGTGGGTCGCGACCCCTTTGGGGGTCGAACGACCCTTTCACAGGGGTTGCCTAAGACCATCGGAAAACACGTATATAATTACATATTGTTTTTGTGATTAATCACTATGCTTTAATTATGTTCAATTTGTAACAATGAAATCAGGGGTCACCACACCATGAGGAACTGTATTAAAGGGTCGCAGCATTAGGAAGGTTGAGAACCACTGCCCTAGAGCTTCATAGAACACACTAGGGGATTGTAGGATTAGTGCATCTTTAAAGTCACTTTCCTTCATCATACTTCAAGACCATCCAATTCCCTTCTGTTGCATGATGCATATTTATGTTTTAAACCAGTGAATCTCAGTTTGGTCTCACATCAGAATCACTTGGGAAGAAGTGTTTTAAAATCACATGCTCTGACCCTGCCCCAGGCTTGGACCTAATGAACCAGAATCTCCAAGGATGGGGCGTGGGCAGATGTCTATTTTAAAAGCTCCTTAGCATTTAATGTAATCCCTCGTTGAGAACTACTGATTTTAACAAAGTGAATGAAAACAGGTGTTGTTAAATTATTTTGCTACATGTTTGGAGTCACTGGAGAGACTCTAAGACAGTAGTTCCCAAAGTTACCTCCCTGTACTGGGAGAGTCCGTCATAGCTCTTGGGAACATGTTAGAAATGCGAAGTCATGGGCCCACCCCAGACCTGCCTCACCCAGTCTCTGACAGTAGGGCCTACCAATCTCTGCATTTAATCAGCCCTACAGATGATTCTGAAGCAAGCTTAGGGTTAAGAATTTTTTGTAAGTAAAAGCCCTTAACACAGGAGAAGGCACCCCCAGAAACATTCCTGATGAAACTATTGATTAGCTCCTAGCCCAGTGATGGCGAACCTATGACACGCGTGTCAGAGGTGACACGCGAACTCATTTTTTTTGGTTGATTTTTCTTTGTTAAATGGCATTTAAATATACAAAATAAATATAAAAAATATAAATCTTTGTTTTACTATGGTTGCAAAGATCAAAAAATTTCTATATGTGACACGGCACCAGAGTTAAGTTAGGGTTTTTCAAAATGCTGACACACCGAGCTCAAAAGATTCACCGTCACTGTCCTAGCCTGACTCCGCTGCTCTTTGTTTCTGGAGTTCATATCGTCTTCTCCATTTGGTTTCTTAGATCCATCACTATTCATTTTTAGCGCAGGGATTTGACTTTGGAAAATGATGTATCAGAATATTTCCTTCCCTTTAGAGAACTATAATTAGCATACATTATATTTTCGCAGTGGCATCCTTACATTTTTCTTGCCACCTTTTTTTTTTCTTTTTAAAAAAATATATATTTTATTTATTTCAGAGAGGAAGGGAGAGGGAGAGAGAGAATCATTGATGGGCTGCCTCCTGCATGCCCCATACTGGGGATTGACCTCGCAACCTGGGCATGTGCCCTGACTGGGAAATCGAACCCTGACCTCCTTGTTCCTAGGTCGATGCTCAACCACTGAGCCACACCGGGTGGGCACCATCTCTTTTCTTGTTAATAACTAACCATGTTTTGTTTTGTTTTTATTTAACGAATCTTGAAAAATATCTTAAGCATATGTAACTTTCAAAGAAGAAGTACTTAGGAAGTTGCTTCCCTCTATAAGGTAAAGTGCCCATAGCTAGTAAAATTAAACTTTGGAGAGGTGGAGACACAGCCACATTAAAAAATGACCAACACTATTTTATTGTGTTGCACTTGCCTTTCATAGCAAATAATTCTATTAACTATACTTCCAAGAACCAGCTCTTGGATCTGACCTCCCTCTCCCCGCCCATAACCAACATCATTATAAATCTCTCCTCTTGCTCCCTGTGTGAGGTACAAAGGAAGAAGGGAATCGAACAGCCCAAGACCTCCTTGTGAAAGGAGAACACACATGTGTGTTGAGCTCACTGACTTCCTGGTACATGCATGAGGACCATGCTCCTGTACCAAATAAGTAAGGGACCTGGGTTCTACCCTTGGGTTCCGCATAGGTGCACCAGCACCAGTTGGTGGTCTGACTCTGGATAACAGAATGAATCTGTGTTGGAATGTGAGATGTCAACTTTAAATGTAATTGATGAGGGAATTCAGGAAGGCGAGTCCATCATTCTGTAAAACCTCATTCTCTGGAGGCTCAATGACAACTGATGTCAGAGGGACAAGCAATGGCCTCTTGAGTGAGGCTAAGAGCTCATGCATGTCCACTACTGTCCTCACTCTGTGCTCCATCCACAGAGACCTTTTATTCAGGCCCCAAACCTACCAGGCTCTTTTCTGACTCAGACTCTTCCCTTGTGAATGCCTCTTCTGACCCTTTATCCCCAAGATATATCACGTACCCTCAGTAGATGCGTTCATAGCATATCTCCTTTGTGGCTCTTTCACAGCTGTAGTTGAATAGTTAATTTGTAAAGTGCATTTCTCTGCTAGAAGGAGAGTTCCATGAGGACAAGGACTGTGGCTTTCTTGTTTCCCATTGATGCTGATGTCTAGCACAGCACTGTGGTGTATACCAGATACACTAGATATACCAGTATTTGTCTATTGGTGAATTGAATGAACAAACGAATGGCTGAATCAAGCAAATGTGGTGCAGACATATGGGCATTTTATAGAAATTGACATTATGTTCTACTCTTAACCTGTATTTTTATTTTTCTGTCTTTTGTTTTAGTGAGTGTTCCCTGTGAGTCACCACACCGTTTCCGGTGTGACAACAATCGCTGTATTTATAGTCATGAGATGTGCAACCATGTGGATGACTGTGGAGATGGAAGTGATGAGAAAGCGGAAAACTGTAAGTCAGAAGAAAGGAGGGAAAACTAAGGACCCAAAATTGTCTGCAATCTTCAAAATGTACCTCTGGGATTTCCGTTTGTTCTGTAGAGGCTTGCGCTGCACCTATGACTGCAGATCTCTGCCGACATAATTGTTTATACCAGACCTTTTAAACATGCACTACTCAGATGCAACCCTTCCCCACTTATTCCTTTCTCATTTGAGCAAGCTGTTGGCAAGTCCCTTATAATTTTTGTCTTTGTTTGAATATTCGGTTCTTATTTCTCTCCTCTTTTCTCTTAAGAAAATGGAAACAAACACAAAATACTGGTTGAGTCACACTCACAGGTTAATGGTTTATTTGTTTTTAAAGATGAGGCTTGGTCACTCTTCAGGCTAGAGTTATTAATTGTTAATCTATGACTGTGAACTTATCAATGCAAAGCTGAAAAGACTATGTGAAATATGGCAACACTGGTGTTAGCTTGTTTAATATTCTTTAAAATGAAAATTTATTGCTCAGAAGAGAAAAATGATGGATTGTTTTAAGACAGAAGTTTCAAACTGGCTGAATTTAATGTTTTTAATATTGAAAAAATCTGTGCTTTTACATTTTGAGAATGTTTTAAAATCTATCCATTGAACAGGAGAGTTGATTAATTATCTGGGCAATTTAATTTATCTAGGAAAAAGTCAGTAAGAAAATTATTTCCCCTGACTCCAGTTACTTTTTCCCTAAAAGAATATCTTCTGGGAAAATTTACATAAATGCCTAATTTTTCTATTTTCGGCCCTTGTATTAATGTGGCCTTAGAATGCTTATGGCCAGCTTACATCCCAGAGAGGACAGTGTGCTGGAGAGGACTCTGACACTATTGCCAAGTTCACTTGTTCTCCCTGTTTTCAGTAAGGATGAACATGTGGTTATAACATTGTTGACATGTTTATTTGAGGCATAGCACAATAGGATGAAAACTTGAAGCTAAAACATTTTTTTTTTTTTTTTTTTTTTTACAATTTGATCACCTTTTCCTGTCCCACTTCACCTACTACAAATGTCATTTTTTAATGGAGCAAGACATTTGTAGCATGTGGTCAAGTTCAAGAGTGGAAAAAAGAGGTAGTAAATACTTATTCACCCCAAGGAGCAGGACATCAGTCAGAGGAATCATTGCTAGCCGTCACTCTAGGCCACATTTCAATGGCTTCAAATAGCAGGGAGTTATTTTTCACTCATGTAAAGTTTGATGAAGGCCAGGAAACCCTCCTTCATCCAGTAATTATGCCATCTGGATGCTGGGACAGGAGAGACAGAAGTGGAGGAGGCACACAGGTTCTTAGTTTCCTGCGCCTGGAAGTGACAGACGTCTCTTGTGTTCACAGTCCTTTGGCTGGAACTGCAAAGGAGACTGGGAAATGCAGGGAAGTGCATGGATATTTAGTGAACACCAATTATTTCTACCATAATGTATCTTTGTGCCACTAAAAATCCCTTTTTGCTTTTCTTCCTACACTTGGAGAACACCCTTAACCTCTCCTCAAGGGACAAAACTCATGGTCCCATCAATAACTGAAATCCAGGAGCTCTGGGTACTGGCCAGTAGTCATGCCACCAATTCTGGATGTGATTGCTTTTGGTCTGGAGACCCATAAACCAACAGACCAACTTTATTTGTACCCCCACCGCCTTCCCCCCAATAGACCATGCTAGAACAGGGTCAGAATAGAAATAAATATTCACATTGGGGAAGGAAGAATTAGAGACTCATTGTAGTCGCCAGTCCTAAGAATTCTGAAAAGCCACTGGGCGAAGGTGACACTTTGGCCCAGGACAGTCCTGATTTATGCCTGTTGTCCTGATAGAATTATCAAGAGTGCCCCTTTCACTCTCAAAAGCACACTGACTTGGAGAGCAAATGACTTGATTACCCTCTGAGGACATTATGAGGGCTCCCTCTATGGGAGCGAAGGAGGTTCATTGATGAGTCATAGCTGTGCTCTGGAAGGAGCACCTGTGTCCACTGCTTCTTACTGATTCTGCCTCCACCCTTTGGGAGGGTTTCCTTGTCTATTGTCCTTTTCAAACGAAGAGGGAGTGGAAATATGCCCTTCTTAGGTGCTGCACAGCTTTCTCAGCCCTCTCCCTGGCTATAAAAGGTTCAGGGCCCAAGAGCTTTTTGAGTCTCAATCACAGTATTTTGTTTTATTTGGTCATGTATTTCTCTCAGAAACTGAGCAGGCTTTGGATCTACCAGTATTTGCCAATAACCTCACTCAGTGTTTCTTATGAGACATAGTTCTTGAATCTGCTTTGTTTCTTTGCTTTGTTTCACTCATGCACCTTCGCCTCAACTGTTTGTCAGTTACATTCAGGCCATCGTGAAAAATGAATGGGCAGTCATTTCATCCAATCAAGCTTTTACTGGGCCTTTGTGTCTCAAAGCCTTTTAAACTTTAGGCTCTTATTGTTTGGGATATAAAAGCAATCAGCTTTTCCCATACTCCAAATTTCTGGACTTTTCTTTCTTTCAGTTCTGATTGTAAATCAACCACATTTTCCCTGAGCTTATTTCTTTCTTATACTGCCTTGCCAGACTCAGGTAATGGCAAGCAGTGTATATCACTAACCCTCTGTTTTCCAACCTCTTTCCTGAGACTGACAAGTGCAGCTAGCAGTGGCCTGCCTTCCAGGGTTTCCAGGGTGACAGCCTTACCATTGCATAACCCAGGTCTCCATCTCTCCTGCCTCCAACATCAGTGTCCTCACTGCTTGCCTCCTGATTGTGAAGCCAAGACCAGATAGTTGATGTTTTGTTAAGAGGCCGCCTCAAACACATGGCTTTCAGGGTTGCCAAAGGGATGGAGGGTCGGGGGTGGGGGGCAAATGAGCTTTCAGTTGCTTCAGCCCAGGATGACCCATGTCACTTCCAACTCAGAATCTATTGACCAAAACTAGTCACATGGTCCTAACATAATTGCAAGGGAGACTGGGAAATGTCGGGAAGCACGAGGTTATTGGTGAGTGGCCACTGTCCCTGCCACAGAGGGAAGCCTCTTGTTTCACAGAAGAAAAAGTTCTGACTTTAATTTGTTCTTAAATTACAGGTGTAGGTCCGACCCCGAGACCTTGTGCAGAAGATGAATTTAAGTGCAGCAACAAGCAATGCATTTCACAGCACCTTGCATGCGATGATGTTGACGACTGTGGTGACCAGTCTGATGAAACAGGTTGCAGTAAGTAAAGACTTATTTTTATATTTCGTTGTGTCAATTCAGGTTTACCTAGTGAAAGCATGAATAACATAAAGTAGATGATAGCTGCGTGTTTCTCTTTAATTGACTTTGTGCGCTGAGCTGCATTCAAGCCCACAGCCGCCTGTTACTGAGCACTTACTCTATACCAGACACAGTGCTACACACTACATGTGCTATCTCATTTCATTCTTTTAACAATCCTATGAGCTCTCTCTCCTTACAAATGAGAAGCCCAACTTTGAGGTTAAATAAAATGGCCATGTCTTTCTCTCAGTAAGAGGTTGAGCTAGGCTTTGACCCGACTCCGATCTACCTATCTGCAGACTA